GTAATAACCTCAAATTATTACCATACGTTAAAGAATTATTTAAGTGCAATAACTAACATTGCAAAGGAATTCTGTTCTGAATTGTGGTAACGTAGTTTCAGCAGTTTTTTTTTATTTTGCTGGAAGCAGTTTTAAACGGAAATTCCCATACTGTATGGATATAGTACGGATTTAGTGACGCAATCGCAAATTTCATAGCATGAGTTTCACTTTTTTCCAGTGATAAATGCCATAACAATGCATTCCATAACAACAAAGATTTTTAGATTGAATTAAGGACAATGTATTTTGAAGATGATATTAATATTATGAATTATAACAAATAAAGTGTTCGAAGTTCACTGCCCAAAGCGTCTGTTGCTTTCTTAATAATTTTACAAAACGGTTAAGTGGCTTGAATGCTAAATAGAAATCAAGCGTTCGCGAAAAATACAGCTACTATATCAACAAAATTTATTCCAGCGGAAATTTCTTTGAAACTTCGAATTTGATATAACGATCTAGCGAAATAATTACATGAATAAACTGTCTATTGTTATAAGGAATACAAAAATAGTTTAATTACAGTCAGACAACTTGTTTATAAAATACAATAAACAGAAATTGAACGAATCGGCAGTCAAACTATTTTTTCAATTGTGAACGATATCAAATAACTATAGCCGAGACATTTTAATTTCGGGAAACGTATAAATTAACATAGCATGTTCAAACAGGGCATATTTCGATGACAGGCGCTTCAAATGGAATGTTAATGGCTATAACTAATAAATGTAAAGAAATATATGTATAAAAATCACTAACAAACGCGAAACACCTACAAATGTTGATGACATGTATAAATCGCATAAGCATTGTAAATTTAATTTTGCGAAGTTTCGAAATTTCACGTATGACATTGGATCGCAAGCTCTTGACTCATAAAACGCAACACATTAAACGCACTGAATTACCCGGGAAGTAAATTGATATATCCAAATATTGATAAAAAAACCAACGTCCAAAGGATAAAATGACTCGACTCGTAAAATACCTACATTAAAACCACTGATAAAGCGCCAATTATACCGCATGCTCTTATGAATAAATACCCTTAGCATTCGCAAAAAAATACCAAAATTTTTCAACTTGGTAACTATAGCCATATAGAAAAAGATAAATCCAGAAGCGTTTTGGATTTAGTTACACCACTTTTCGTTTAAAATATAATTACGGAAATGCATTGTCGTAATCAACATATTTGTTCCAGACAATTAATTTTCTGCATAAAGCTTCAACTCCAAAAGATATTAAAATCAAACATTCCGATGAAGATAAGTTTGATAAACAAGTCTAAAAATACACATGATTAACACGTCTACAAACCATACAAAAGGGCTCGGCTACTGTTAAAGTTTCATTCGTGTACAGACTTCACAGAGAACACATCAAGAACGCATCAAAAGTCAACGAATATGGCAGATAATTGGGAAGACGTGGCCGAGTACTTACTGCGAAATAGAAGATTACGAGAAATGGTCGATGACGTTTTGAATTCATTGGATGAAATTAGTCCAGACTGCCGTTTCACTACAGGTAAGCCTGTCTTTATTTTTCTCTTTTCTCCATCAGTTACAATAATATACTGACTACTGTTCACCGGTGGTTTTTATTATGTTAAAACGAATTATCAACGCTAAAATTTTAAAAAGCCAAGCGAGCAAATACGTTAAACGAATTGTTGCACACGTCCATTGAATACATAGCCCAAGTGTTATTTTTCTGAAAACGCCATAGATATCATTGACAACTAAACGGAACCTGTTAAACGTGGTCTTCTTTACTGGTAGCAACAAAATAGTTAAACACGTCCTTTTGACTGATTTCTTTATAGATGAGAATCGAAAGCATGAAAAGAAAAAGAAAAACAAGAGACGAATTACAAAACCTGATCTGATACAAAAGCAACGCTTGCTAAAAGAGTACCAAATGACAAAGTACCTTACGCAGGAGAGGAAGAAAGAACTGGCAGGAGAATTAAATCTGTCGCAAGTTACCGTCAAAGTAAGTTCTCAACCTTAAGATATCTCAATGCATTTAAATCTAGAAGAATAACCGACGAAAAGTAAAGATACTTATACTCTGCATGCATGCATGGATCTATGATTTATTTCCGAAGTCGCTATAGGTTCGGCAATTTCCGAGGGATATTAAAGGATATTTTTAGGATATAATTATAGGGTTAAATTATTTTAGGGTTAGGGTTATATTTGTAGATCAAAACAGCCGGTCCTATATAGCAACGGCCATTTAATTTCCCAGCGGTTTAATATATCATATTTTGTATTTTCTCTTTACAGAATTGGTTTCAAAATCGGCGAAGGAGAGAAGCACTTCTTAAAAGAAATAAAACGGTTAATAAAATGCGGCGAATGAGCATACGCAAGAACGATGATGGTGTACCTTGCCTCGTTCCGAGAAATGTTGACATTAAAATATCTGAAGTACTGAAATCGGAAACTAGACAGCTGAACTATCAAAACAATTTGCCCGGCTTTGTTGTCACTCAAGATGAAAATGGTATTTGTTTATTGCATGAACTATAATCGTGTAGTGATAAAATACTCTAAAATGTGTAAATTACTTATATATATTTTGTAAATAACGTAATATTCATTATGATAATATAAGTCATTGCCTTTAAGCATTGCCTATATATGTTTCCTACAAGATCTCTCAGACATGTTTCGCCCACAATAAGATATATATAGGTTTAGGACTAGGTTTGTGAGTGGGGTGAAGATAAAGAAAAATTATACATTCGTGCAAGAAACATGAGGATACCCATTTCGATTTCCAAAATATTTATTATTATATATATTTATATGATATAAATATTTATATATTATATAAACTTGGTTCAAGTCCGTCTCGGGAGAAATGTAGCGAGAGACCGACTTGGGATATTTGCAGCATTTCGAATGTAACTTGTAAAAATTGGCGCAAAAATTTGTTGTTGTCAACGTTGCAAATGTCCCAAGTCCGTCTCCGTCTAATATTCTCTCATATTTTCTCTCATATTTTTCACAGCTCGCGTGTAACGCTATTTTCAACCCATTGAAAGACGAACTTGAACCAAGTCCAGACATTATAACATATTTAAGAACAAGTGATTGGTCACCTGTTTTCAAATTCGGAGTACTTCATATTGGAAAATGTTTGCGAAATTTAATTTGATTTTTTGGTGTAAAATTTCTATTACGATTTTATTACTATACATTATATCTTGTTGTATTTTGCTAAGGTATATGTAATAATTCATCTAGTATCACTCCTTAAAGCAGATGTTTAAGAGTGAATGTCAGTAAAAATCGAACATATGAGATATTTCGCGGCCACGACTGAAAAATCGATTTTGCTCAAATTTTGCCCAGATATACCTTATTATATCAGAAAATGCACCATATATTTTTTTAGGCCAAATGCTTTTTTAACTTTGAGAAAATGCCGTTTTAACACGACCACCCTAAATCGCCATTTTGTCTGGGAAAATATGCGCTGAGTTTACCGACAAATTTCACGACGACAACCGTTTATAATCGATCTAAAACCCTAAAAATCTTGTTTTGGGTTATTCAAAGGACCGGGTACGTGACTTACAAGAAATCTGAGTTACTTTTAGGAATAGAAATAATCGTAGTTTTGGAGCACACTATCTTACTTCATTTACGATACCCTCTTAACAAAACCGATTTTCACTATGGGATAAAGCTCCAAATCGATCATGCTTCTACTAGTTGGCTCTTTAATAAACAAGCTTTCAACTGACGTAAATACTTCTTTGGGCAAATGAATACGCGATAAACGACAGCGCGCTGAAATCGTCCGTTTTTGACGTCTTGCAAGCAAACGCTGTTAATTTACATACCGTCGAAGTAAACAATTTAATCAAGTATTCTAAGTATTTTACCTTTTGAGAAGAAGATATATTCTTGAATGGAGACTTTTTGCCTTGCTAAGTTTAAAATTGGTCCAAAAATCCTGATATATTTGTAAAATATCATCATACACAGGTATTTTGAGATAAAATATTGTTGTCAGTTGCATAATAACTTCAGATCACTGTTCAATATTGTCTACTTTTAATAGCGCTAACATACAAATCGATGAGCTGTTTAGGGATTATATTTGCTACTAAATTTCCCAAAATTAGAACTTCAGTTGTTGTTTTGTTCCAGTTTGATCCATATAATGTACCATTTTACATATCGACTATGCTATCGAGTATAAATGTTTACGAATACATAAGTTAATTATTAAGCAGCTGTTTTAATAGCGTGCGTGTGAAATGAACATTAATCCATACAAGGTTTGTTATTTTATTACATATTCTACCACCTCAAACTCAAATTATAGCAAATAGTTTAGAATAATTATTTTAATGTGTGTTCACTTTGATTCTCAGTTAAAATAATCAGTAAAATTACTTTCTTTTGATACACTATTGTTTATTGATCTTATTATATTCCACAAGTACTAGTAACCCAAAAATACAGCATTGAGATATGTTACCCCAGTGCGACACCAGTAATTATTATTGTCTCCCCACACGTCGCGTTTAAAAAAAATGGAAGCTTGTTGCTCGTTTAACGCTGGATTAACCATGTGTCAGATGCGGCAAATGCCACGGGCCTCGCGCTTATGGGGGCATTGCGCTTTACTGTGCCACGCCCATTTTTACGAGAACACGGCCATTTTCTATTGGGACACACCCATTTTAGGTGCCTCGCGAATTTAGGGTCCCTAGCCTTGGCAGTTGGCCCCAGCACGGCCCCGGGAAGATATGCAATACTCGTGTGCATATAATCTTCAGTTGCGTTGAGCTGTTATATTATGATCCTGTTTATACATGTTGAATCAACAACTGGGCCAGGCAGGCCACTGTCTCGTTTATAATTGATGCTAATAAATTGAAATATTGAAAAAAATTATTTAACAATTTTGTGTGTCTTTAAATTCAAAGGTTTTCATAACAAGGCGGAGAGTGGGGGGGGGAGGGGGTTGGGGGTCTCGCGCTAAAATCTGCCACGAGCCTCGCGCGACGTTAATCCGGCCCTGGTCACTTGTCGGTAGTTCTTGTGGTTTTAATGCCAATTGCCAAAGAACGAAAGAGAGCACCGATGACTTCCCCCGTCGGAGAATTACTGGCGCAGCCCAGGCCAGCTCAGTGAAATATGGGGGCCCAGGGCCAATTATATCTTTGGGGCCCCGGTGAACCACAATAATTCCCCTCCCACCCCTCCGTCGACAAACTTTTTACCCCCTTGCAATTTTGTATTTGCCGGCCCTCCTTGAGCTGGGGTCGCGGAGAAAATTGCTCCCTTTGCCCCCCCCCCCTGCAAGGGCGGCCCTGGCGCCACCCCTGTCTTATCATAACTATCTACTTCAAATAATTTTTAAAGCCCTGGTCTTTTTCAAGTAGTTTTTTGTCCCGAAAAAGTAAAAGACTTAGAAATGGTGATTAAATTATTTACTACGGTATGTTATTTAATAACGAGCAAGGGTTATGGTAGGGATTTAAGTTATAAAGTTGGTGTTTGGAATAGGGTTAGTGTAAAGCTTTGTTACGTTTTGTCATTCTGAGGCCAGCGAAATAACCTCTTACGCAACATGCATGCGTACGCGTCTACTATCGTCAAGAAACAATCAATACGTATAATCGTTGTGGTCTGTGGGATTTTAATGAGATTTAATGACCTTGCAGTTTTAACACACATTAGCCGAATTCATATTAGAGACGGGAAACTCGTATTAGACGGGAAACTCGTCTTAAATTCGTATTTATCCGTCCCAAAATTCATATTCAGGCGGGTTTTCACAGACGAGTTTCCGTCTAAGACGAGTTTCGCGTCCCTAATATGAATTCGGCTATTCAAATATAAGGGCTGGTAAACTAAAAATAAAAACTCCTTATATTGATAAACATTATAAACGTTCATTTCATGTCACGCACGCTAACACCTGCTTAATAATTAACTTACGTCTTCGTAAACATTATAGTCGATACATAACTGGTACATTAATTTAATAATATGGACAAAATGGAACAAAACCTCTGAAAACAGCAGTTGTAGTTCTAATTATTTTGGTAAATTTAGTAACAAATATAATCCCTAAACAGCTCATCGCTTTGTATGTTAGCGCTATTAAAAGTAGACAATATTGAACAGTGATGGCTGAAGTTATCATGCAACTGACAACAATATTATATCTCAAAATACCTGTATATGATGATATTTCACAAATATATCGGGATTTCTGGACCAATTTTAAACTTAGCAAGGCAAAAAGTCTCCATTCGAGAATATATCTTCTTATCAAAAGGTAAAATACTTAAAATACTTGATTAAATTGTTTACTTCGACGGTATGTAAATTAACAGCGTTTGACTTGCAAGACGTCAAAAACGGACGATTTCAACGCGCTGCCGTTTATCGCGTATTCATTTGCCCAAAGAAGTATTTACGTCAATTGAAAGCTTGTTTATTAAAGAGCCAACTAGTAGAAGCGTGATCGATTTGGAGCTTTATCCCATGGTGAAAATCGGTTTTGTTAAGAGGGTATAGTAAATGAGGTAAGATAGTGTGCTCCAAAACTACGATTATTTCTATTCCTAAAAGTAACTCAGATTTCCTGTAAGTCACGTACCCGGTCCTTTGAATAACCGAAAACAAGATTTTTAGGGTTTTAGATCGATTATAAACGGTTGTCGTCGTGAAATTTGTCGGTAAAATCAGCGCATATTTTCCCAGACAAAATGGCGATTTAGGGTGGTCGTGTTAAAACGGCATTTTCTCAAAGTTAAAAAAGCATTTGACCTAAAAAAATATATGGTGCATTTTCCGATATAATAAGGTATATCTGGGAAAAATTTGAGCAAAATCGATTTTTCCGTCGTGGCCACCTTATGTTTGATTTTTGTGGACATCCTCTCTTAAGTATAATAATTATTCCAATGAAAAATCGATGTCATCGTAATCGAATTTCAGCTTTCAAAAAACGTCCGTTGCCGTAAAAAATAATATTTTAAGTGATTTTTATACCCGCCATTTTGTTATATAAAATTCAAAATACATTGTGTTCATAATCTCAGAACCTCTGTTTCAAAAAAGTGCACTGTTTGGCAAATGTATAGCGCGATTTTTACATTTTAAACTGCATGATAAATTCTTCATGTTCTTGTAGTTTACTGAGATGAAGCAAAAGTTATGAACCTTAATTTAAATGACGATCGAACTAGCTCAGTTCTGGCGGGCTTTTTTCGCATTTTGCAAGAGTCGAGTTTATTGTTTATTGAACTGCCCCAATAGCATAGTTTCCATGTTTGCTTGCATGTTTTAACATGTCAGGCGCACACGAAGGTTATATATATGCACATGTTTCGTGCACAAATAGGTTTCTCTTTGATTTTGAGCCCAATCACAAATCTATCCTAACTCTATTGTGCACGAAACATCAGGAAATAACCACGCGGTTTATCGCACCCTGCCTAACCAGCAGTAGGCCCTTTGAAAATGTATAAAATTCCACTCGAAATAGGCAATTC